CCCCCCCCACCCCTGCTATAATTACCTTTGGGCCCAAAGGCAAGTATAGCTGGGGAAGGAAGAGGGTTTAGAATGGAGGGGGTAATTCAATTTTCCCAAATTCACTTGGAAAGTGGAATTACCCTTTAACAAAAATGTAGCTTATTTGTGTATCACTCAGCTGTAGATCCTCAAATCATCTCTGAATTCATGCTGACACTGTCCTTCCATCTGGACGGTGGCTTTTTTTGTTCCCCATGGTCCTTGTGTGTGTTGTAAAGTAGCCACTGCTCCCAGTTCACTCCCTTGTTGGACTACAATCTCACTTTTAGTTTACTAATTTGTATTGAGATTATAGTCCATCAGAGGAGTGAGCTTGGAGCAGTGGCTACTTTATAACAAACACAGGGACCATGGGGACCAAAAGTAGCCACCCTCCAGAAGGAAGGACAGTGTCGGCATGAATTCAGAGATGATTTGAGGATCTACAGCTGATTATGGTCATGGTTAACAAATACCTGTCAACTATAACTGGAGGCAATGTCTTATAAAGTCAACAACTCAAAAGTGACAATTACTCTCAGCTTCAGTCTTCTTGGCTAAGCCACCCTTTGACTTCTGATATCTCTTTGAGACTCCACAGATAAGGTCTCCCTGCCCTAGCCCACAGCTCTGCTCTTACCTTAGGGTCTAATTTCCTCTGCTTTGGCAAGAGTGTTCCCACTCTTCTTACATTATTGTTAGTTAATTACATTAAAACGTCAACAAGGAGTGTGAAATAACCATGTAACAGTCACATCAATTGTTACCCAAGAGATACAAGAAGGACTGTACTGATTTAACATGCTCCAAATATTGAAATATCAGTTCTGGGTTGAAAGACTGATGCCAGTTTATAAAATTTGGCTATCAAAATATTAGGCTTTTTGTGTTTGTTTATTTATCACTCCCCTTGCCAGCTATTTATAAAAGTCAAAGTCTTTTCCCCTGGTTTTTGGTACTGTCATTTTATCCGTGAAATCAATTCACAGTGGATACCATCCGATGCATAAAGAACTGTTCATGCTTCTTTTCAGGGAGCTCAGAATGTTGGACCTATTATAGTTTATTATTTTTGGCATAGGAAAGCTGAAGACAGAATTTTCTGAAGAAGTGTCATGATTGACTTTTCAGCCAATTTAGCCACTTTTTGCACATTTTATGCTTCTTTTAAGCATCTTTTATACAATTATACTGCCATTTTTACTTAGCATATTAGAATAAAATTGTGAGGCTTTATAAATGACAAGTTACTTCACAAGTAAGTTAAGAAAACTGTGAAACACATCATAATTCCAAGAGATGCCTGAAAACTACTGTCTTGAAAAAACAGCTGTATAGCAAAGCATAGCATTATGCTAAACAAAATGTACGGTATGTAATACTGACCAGTATTTCTTCAAACTGCTGCACTTGATTTATAATAAAATTAATAATTTATATATGGGGGGGACTGGGATGAGAAGTGGAAGGCCTTTGCCCCCTGGGCTGGTACTAATAAGATATGTTAGGCTGGAGGCCCTAACTGGAGATACCTCATCATTTATACATCACAACAAGACAAGGACACATCGTGGGCATTGTGTATGTAGCTGCTACCTCTTTAGACCTGTTATCACAACATCTGGCAGAGGAAAGTCTTCCAGCACCAACTTACTTTGCAGCTCTGAGATACCATATGACCAAATGCCTCAGACATAAAGCAAGCTGGAAGATATGAAAATGCATGTCACAACAAACCAGTTCCATGTCCCTCCTTTCACCATGCCCATCCATTACTGTGCCACCATGGCACACTTTGGGTGGTACACTATTTTTTTAGCCCTCAAAAATCTGTCCCAAATTCAAAAGGGCTGGTTGGTTGCTCCCTTTCCTCTCCTGATTTATATCCACCAATTTTAGTACTGCAACTTTTTGCATGTAATAATGAACTATTGCAAACATTTTTTTTTTCTGTGTTTCTACTAATTGCTTTTATAGTGACAAGCAGTCTTTAACATGCTTGATAAATTTGTTCTACAAGAGAACTAATAAATAATGCTTTAAAAACTAACCAAAGCAGCAACCAATAAGATAACTTCTTATTATTGAACTTAAATAATAGGGAGTAGATTTTAACTTTTTTTTTACGTTTCACTGTTTTTCAGATTGTAATTTTGTGGTCATAAATTCTTGCAACTTAAATGTATTTATAAAAATGATTTAGAAAGACTTATTAATTAAATATTATGAGCAAAAGTATTATAACGTGTATGTGTGTTGCACTCTTGTCCCTATCAACTCCTACATCACATAGATTGGAGACATTTATGTGTATTTACATTGCCTGAACATTGTATAATGTGAACATTTGCAATAACATCGAATGTAAGAATCTAAGGAAAAAACATGTTAATCATAGTAATCAATTGGATTGTTCATTTTTACCTCTATACCTCCCTGGAAAATTCAGTTTGAATCTGACTACAGCAAAAGCAGCTAAGACAATTCTTCTTTAAGGCACTTTTAGATGGATTTACTAAAGGCAAATAGGATGTTCACTTTCAAGAGGAAGTTTTCCTGTAATGTAGTGATTGATGTGAAGTTCTGCTAACTTCCATCAACCAATCATGTATCAACAAAAATATTACTTTGTTCCTTTGAATAGAACATATAGGATCTCCTGTGTATAAAGTGATTTTGTTGTCCAGTCAATCCCATTCCAAACATAATCCAATTTGATTGGTTGAAATGAGCATAAAGATTTCTCAAACGTAAGGTTCTTTTTTTTCTTCTTATCCACTGTATTTTACATTTCACAGACACCCTTAAAAAGAAAGTAGAGAACGGAACAAATTGTATATATATTGGAGGAAGTGATATCACTGTGATGTCACCTACACATTAGAGAATTAAACATCTTGGAAATCGGGTAGAGTTGTGGCCTGTGTAGCCACATGTTAATTGCAACAAATGATACTGCTCCATTAATTTATGTCTCAGCTTTACTCTGGGTTGCTTGGTGCAAATGGGCAGACCGGAAGTATTAGTTCTAAACTCTACACAATTCAGAGGGCCTCACAGTCCAGCAGTGTTCGGTGGACACTGAGAGAATCATTCTCTAAGATTTTCAGGATGCACAGCTCCCCTAACCAAATCAATTGGCCGCATATGATCCATTTCACAGCTAACTAAGATAATTTACTGAGAAAGCACTACAATGAATATCTCACCAGGGCTTGTCACAAAGCCCTCTCCACATTTACTGAAGGACACATATATACATCAAATAGAGCGTATGTAATATCAAGTGCCACTAAATTGATTGTTACCTAAAGGTTCTAAATATGGGAACATGTACATGCATCACAGAGCTCACACTATATCACAGTGCGTATAGTGCCACAAGTCTATGTAGGAAGTGTGCAGTATCGCTAATAAAAAACAAGACCTGTATGTCAGATTGTTTTGCAAATTAATGAAAAATATTTGAGCCATGTTGCTGTCTGTTTTTAATAAGATGTAACCAGGGAATACTTTTTATAATGCCAGTAGACATTTACAGTAAAATATATTCCATTTTATTTAAAAAAAATAATACTACAAAACAGAAAAGGCTGCTTTTGAAGAGTACTCTTGCTGTGAGAGCAGACAGTCAACAGATCTTTGTCCCGTTTTCTGCATGTACACATAAACCATTTCACATTTCTGATACAGTAGGTGGCAATAACTGCATGCTATAAGTAAGGAATCATAATTAAAACAAAGTAGGGCTGCTACCTATAGTAACCAGATATATGCCAAATGTTATAGCTTGCACCAGAAAAATCAAACATGAAATCAAATTGCATTTTGTAAGGACACTGTAAGCTCCAATTAAATACCAGTGACACATTCATCAGAATATGATCACCATTATAATTACCCATGGCATTACCCTCAGGCTGGTATTGCTTAAAACCAGCTCACAGTCCAGTAGTAGAAGTAAAGCAGAATTCAAAGAAAATATTTTCCAAGCAGACAAAATGTCAAGACTATAATGCTAGCTTTTATTTACTGTTTTCGAAGAAATTATTCTTAGGATTGACCTCTTACTACTACTTTTCATTTATTTAAAATCTGAAGTGCTATGCATTGCAGCGTTTTTCCGCAGTACACAACTCCACACGCATTAACGCTCATTAAAAAGTGTGATTGCCCTCTCAAAGTTGAACTTACCATGGCAGTCGTGTGTGTGCCTTTCTCATATTTTCTTTTTCATACATAAGATTCTACATGTACAATAATTTTATTCCACTTGGTTTCAAATAACCCCTTTAGCCTCCAGCTGAGTTTTCTCTTCTTGGAAAAACCAAATTGGACAGATGATCAAAGACTTATATAAACAATGTGATGATTTTATCCTGGGTACATTTTAGTAATAGATAACAGGTCAGCCGAAAACGATACAAGTAT